TTTCATAGCTAGTACTTTCCTCCTATATTTGATTCTCTGTTTCCCTGATGCCCCTAAATCAGACTCTACTCACTCCTCCAATACACACATACCTTTCTAAATATCTCCCTGGTTCAGGATTTGATTTCAGGATTTCAGGATATCTTTCCTTTCTGTACTTTCATCTTTCCACCTCCACTTGAATCCATCATTCTTACAACAGAATTTTAAGAGATCCTCTTCCCAGTAGAATGCTTACCTTCTCTTCCATTCTTCATCCTTCACAATCTTTACTGATTCCAGGAACTTGTTATCCCTCATACATTATGTAGTCAGTGAAACCCTTTGCCCAAAAGATTCAATTGTTCATTCTGTCCACATGACACAAAACTTAACTTTTGCTGTATACCCAGCCCTGTTGGGATCCCCTGCAATGAACCTATTCACTACTTTACACACCTTACCATAATCATTGACTCATTTCTACCTTATCTGTTACAATACTTAATCATAGTGCTATATGACTTTAGATGTCTAGCACATTAATTTGTTCTTACCATTAACCATTTTACTTCTTAGAGAAAGGAACCCTTTCTCTCATAAATGGTATTTTATAATTATTTTGTCAAATTTATTATGAAGTGAAACATGCATTTTGAACATTTTCAGTTTGGTAAATATTATTTAATTTATTTAATATGGATTATGTAGTTAGTCAACAACTCATTAATTCTACACTGAAGCCACAGACATGCAAATACAATGTAATTTTATGGTGAGCATTGTTGAGACAAATATAATTAAATTAATCTGATATTGATAAAATAAATTCATCAGTTTCAGTCAATTTTATTTATTGAAAATTTCTGCCACATCAACGTCAAAGGTCATTAGTGACATATAAAATATAGCACTAAGGTGAGGCTTGGGAGTGAAGCCCCCAGGTAACGAAGGTCATACAGCATTATGATTAAGTATTGTGGTAAAAATGTTAAAAATGCATTAACACAGTATAAAAGATGTTAGATGTCAAAGGTTGTAGAGCCCTGATGGTTAGCATAGTAGTGGAAAGGGTAAATGAGGAAACAGCAAACAGACACAAAGCCAGCCTTTCATCCTTTCAGCACAGCTATCACACTTTAGGATGTGGGCAGAAGGGGATGAATGAGAGAAGGAAAAAGAAAGAAGAAAAGACCCTGCAAAATCAGTTGAGGTCAGGGCAGGGGTGATCCCCAGTCTCCCAAGCCCCCCCACGACGACGACAATCATGGGATTGGGGGGGTGGGGCACTGAGTGCTAATAAAATTATTATTAATTGAAAATTTTCTGTCACGTCAACATTTGAGGTCATTAGCAGCACATTCAAAATATAGTGATATGGTGAGGTTTTCGGACGAAGCCTCTAGATAAGGAAAGGTCATACAGCATTATGACAAAGTATTGTGGCAAAAAAAAATAAAAATGAATTAACAGTTAGGACAAAAATATTAGATAAAGGCTGTAGAGAGTACTGTAGATAAGTATGGTAGTGAAAATTGTAAAGGGGGAAAAGCAAATGGAATACAAAGGCAGTTCAGGACTGACACAAAGCCAGCTTTATATGCATTCAGAACAGTCCTCATACTTTAGAATGTGGACAGAAGAATGGGATGAAGAGAAGGAAAAAGGAAGGTGGAGAAGAAAAGACCCCATAAAATTAGTTGAGGCAAGGGCTGAGGTCCAAGGTAGGGGTTATCCCACACATTGGGCCTCAGTCTCCGTCTTGTAAGCCGCCCCCCCCTTACGACAGCAATGATCATGGAATTGGGGAAATAAAGTGTTATACTTCCATCACTATTTATAGTTTTAATATACTTTTGTTAAATTAACCAATATGTTTGTATGGCTTTAAAATTATCATATTGGTTAATGGTTAATGGTTGAAACAAATAAATGTGCTAGAAGTCTAAGTCTAAGGTAAATGAGTTAATTGATTAGTATAGTGTTAAATGTCAAAGTTTATAGTGTTATAGGGAAAAGGGTAAAGAGGGGGTGCAAATGATGTAAATTGGACATTAAAAAAGGAAAGGGTTAAGAGTATTGGGTGATTCTATGGAATGGGGTTTATCTGTTGTTGGGGAAGCTATAGTTACATTGCTTTAAGAAAAACTGGTAAAAGAGCTGTTATGAAATAATCACTGGGTAATCTGGGTAGAGATGGCTGTTGGAGAAGTAGCAGGAGAAAAGTCTGGGGGATGAGACAAGAGGACTAGGGAATGTAACTGGAAAAATGTTAGGAGGGGAGGAATTCGGAGGAGGACATTGTTGGGACAAAGGATTCAAGTGAGTATCCAGGTGGGAGAGGTAAGGATAATGGAGAACGAAAAGGGAATGGTGTACATGGAGGAGAGGATGGGGTTTGTTGGGGAAGAGTAGGAGGAAGAGGGGTAGGGGTTACTTGCAGGGGAGGAGGATGGATATTGGCAAATACTTTGAATGTAGAGGGACTAAGTATAGAGGGACTGGAGGGTGGATAAGGGAGTGAAACATTTTCTTGGGTCATGTCTAGGAATTTTTGGATGTCTTCAAGAGTTTCTGGGGGGGGAGGGGTTCTGAGAAACAAAGGATCTCTTGTGAGATGAGGGGACAGATGTTTGATGAGCAGAGGAAAAGACGGATGTAGGAGAGGGTGTGGAAGGTGAAGATGGAGTAGAATGTTTAGGTTGTCTGGTGCATTGCGTAAAGTAAGGGGGAGGAAGGGTAGGTATCAGATAAGTGGCAGAGATTGGAGTATCTGGATTTAGAATGGAAAAGGGACTTGAGTGGGACATGGTAGGATGGTTCCAGGTAGAGGGAAGAAATGCTGGGGGATATACAGAAACATCTTGTGGAGATTGGGTGTATCCATGGAGCAAAGGATTATTTTGGAATTGGTAGATAAACCTCATTACCGTGCTTCTTGTCTAGCCTCACAGAGTGAGGCCTAGTTTGAATCTGAGAATTGCTACCTCACATTTGAGCTCATAGGCAGGGCAACTCCTATAAAATACGTTGTGGAAGTCACTGCAATTGGCACATGCATGTGACTGAGCAGGGGAATTTGAATGCTCATGACCAGTTTGGGCAGAGAGAGTATCAGGCTGTAGAGCAACAGTGTTTGGCTGGGTAGCCAAAATGCCAACATTTCTGACACTGATGGGGAAGGGGTCAGTGTGGTCAGACACAGTAGGACATTCCACCAATATAAACTTCATGGGGGAGGTCATGTCTACAGATGCTATTCTTGGCAATATTGACGGACTTTTGCTGGCCTCTGGGAGGAATAGTATAGCACTGTACTGCTATTGCATCATAATCAGCAAGGCAGGTAAGGAGGTCATTTTCACAATCTGACCAGTTCTTCTCATATATGGAACAATCAGTTAGGGGGATGGAAACGGTTCCAGTACAAGTTTAAGAGAGGTGTGAGGTTCGGCAGGAATGGGTTTGCCATTAAGGTCAGTTAGGGTAGATAGTGCACGAGTTTGGGATTCTGATGTAACTGACTGGGTGTGAATGATCAGAGTGACAGCATAAGGCTACTTTGCCTACTTGTTTTGGGATACACTGTTGAAAAAGAAAGGTATTCTCAGAATAGGAGGATGTGGGAGAATCACTGAGTCGATCCCATTTGCCTGGGCCAAAGACTACTTAAAAAGTTTGCAGAAGTAGAGGTAGTAGAAGGACGAGGGCAAGGGGAAGATGGGGCAGTGTAGTGTAGTAGTTGTGTGTGTGTGGGGGGGGGGATAATGACAATAAGGATTAAGAGTAGTAATAAGGGAAGAGGAGGTAGCCATTGAAGAAGACTAAAGTAGGAGATGGAGAGGAAATTGTTGGGAGAGAGGGGAAGGGGTGCATTCTGGAGGTTGAGTTAACCTGGGTGGGTGATTCAGAATGGATAGTTGTCAGTAAACATTGAGGAGGGGGAAATAGTATTAGTGACAGGAGCTGTGGACAAAGGAGGCCCAGGCATTGGAAAATCATCAAAATCAAAATCAGATAGGCTAGTTGATGTTGGGGCAATGGTTAATGCCCCTATTAAGGGTAAAGAATCTCCTTTATTGGCCATAGCAAGCCTGAATAAAATGGGGGAAATGAAAAGGTCTACCCCTCAAGGTCCCCATAAAAGGATAAGGACTAGGCAATTAACCAAGGGAATACCGTGCCCATGGCTCCCGAAGGCCGTTCATGACTGACAAAGCCAGCCTTTCATCCTTTCAGCACAGCTCTCACACCATAGGAATGGGACAGAAGGGGATGAAGACCATACAGAAGAGAAAGTAGAAGAAAAGACGAAGGGAATTATTAATGAATGGATGTAATCTCAATACATACCTGTAACATTTAATCTAGTGTTTTAGAGTAATATCTAGTAACCTAACTTGCATTTGTAATGTTTAACCCTAATAACCTTTAAAAAAATAAGGAACAGCAATACAAAGTTCTGTCCACTAAAAGTATGTTCAAATGAGTGGGTCTGATTACGATTATTTTGTACCCAGTAATCGATCTGCCTTTCATGTCATTCTCTCACTTGCCCAGCAAACATGTCTGCTTGTCTGGACAATGGTTATCATAAAATGAACAGGTATATTAAAATATACATTACTGCATGGAGGCATGGAAATATTCACATGGACTTTTAATATGGAAACTTGTTCTATTAATTGAGGACTACAAATTCACGGTACTTTTATGAAGGATAAGGTTTCTCTTCAACACTGATTAAGAACTTCTCATACCTTCTTTGTCTTTAGTAAACTGTCTCGTTTGTATATACAAAGTATGAATTTTTACAGACTACCGAGATAGTCATGCAATTCTTTTACATATGGAATACTGATTTTCAATAAGGTACAAATTCTTTGAGTAATCTGACATTAGTACACAAATATTTGTTATAGTACAGTGTGTCCTCAATTTTAGCAATATGCAGATTTTTAGTGGCAAGTTAATGAATCTACCTCATTTTAGTTCAACAGTGGGGAAAATAATATTCAGGATTTAGATTTTTTTCCTTTAATTTGAGAACGGCTAATTTAAGAACGAGGCCTCTCCTTTTTCTCCTTGTACAGAGCAAGCAGGGAAACGTTGGCGACCTTCACTACCTTGAAACGGATACCTGTAAAACAAATAGACAAATTATTGAAGACTATTTCAACAATATTCTACATTCCACAATCCAGAGTTAATTCCTTATCATTTACAAATTTCTAAAGTTTCAGATCATTGGTTGCCAAAGCGGGCAATACCACCCACTGAAGGTTATGGAAAGGTTGGTATTTGCAACAGTTAAGTAAAATTTGTGTGTAATTTAAAAATCTGAATGATTTATCTGTTTAATATTACCAATTTGAAGCATTATATATATATATATATATATATATATATATATATATAATCAAATGTAAAGTGAGGGGGTTAGGAATCCATAGGGAAGCCAAGGGGCCACCAGCCTTAAATTTGGGAACCAATGGTTTGAAGCTAATTTCAGTTAATGGTAACAAGAGCAATGCATAGATTGAAGGAAATGGACACTGCTATCAAATACATCTACTGCAGCCCAATGAATTGACATATCTATTTTCTACAAGTGGGCATGAAGTGCTAATATAGGCAGGGTACAGGGAAAGGTTAGGTTTAGGTTTGCATGATATCCTGGTTTTGGAACTGACTTCGTCTCTGGAGGGTGCTTTACTCTTGGTAACAAATACCTAAATTTCTTATTCCCACATTAAATATCTACAATCAGCACTTACCGGGAATATCACCGACGGCATGGCCCTTACGACCAAATCCTGACACTAACACTTCATCGTTCTCTTCAATAAAGTTCAAGCAACCATCCCGGGGGACAAAAGCAGAGATCTTCTTGCCATTCTTGATAAGCTGGACTCGAACGCACTTACGGATGGCAGAGTTAGGCTGTTTGGCCTCAATGCCGCTGAAAATATAAAATTTCATGAATCTCACCATCTATTGATGGCTAGTAGAACCACAGCAGCAGCAATAAATAATTCTACCACCTTACAATATTATATGAGGGCACTACAATTTACTTTTGAGCACTAAGGAAAGTTGAATGTACATTATATTATAATTGAAAACAAAAGTTACAAATGACGATTGAAACATAAGCTAACACTTTCCTTAAAACCTGTATCTGATCTGCAGCATTACCCTTATCAATTATCATCCACCCCTGAAATTTAAGCAAAAACTTACATTTTCTCAAGGACAATGCCCTTAGCATGGGAGGCACCACCAAAGGGGTTGGCCTTCCAGCGAGTTCCCAAATGGGCTTTCTTGTAGTCCTTATCGTGCCATCTTTGTTCACGGCGGTGGTTCACATGCTTACGGGCAGTACGGATTCCACGAGGCTTACCTGTAATTAAATTTACACTTAAGAGGGATAGTAGATCACTAGTTTTTGGCTAACATGCAAATTCAAAGACTGGCAAGGTAGCAATGCCGCAGGACAGGTAAACGACAATAATTAAAGTGAAACTTGCTTTGATTTAAGCATAAAAAAAAAAAATCTTTACCTAAGGACATGATACTAATTAATCCCATTCTTTGTTGTAATAGGTCTAGATATTAAAATCCAATGGCCAGATTAAATATTTCTCATGAATTCAATCTGGCACACAATACAAATTCAAAAGAGGTTAAGAACTTTCCTGCACAGTATTTACACAATAATACTGAATCAAGAAAAAATCAAAATGGAAGTATCCACCAGACTGAATTCCTATTGAATAACTGGTAAACCATACGATTCACCAATTTTTCCCCCCATTTATCACCAATGCTTACATTTACCGTAAATAACTTTTCACTTTCTGAATAGATTTTGATTCCAGTACTAATGATCAACTCGTAGCTGATGTGTGGCAAGTTAAGTACATGCCATGGCTGTTGTGGACCGAAAAACGGTTGGCATCTTATAATGCCCATTCCCGCGCCATTGGCTCATTGAACGGAGTTCCCCCCCATCTATATATAAAAACAATTATCAAATTAAACACCCAGTGGGCATGCCATGCATGCATATGCCATCCCAGGCACAAAGTGGTTAAATACACGAGTTGAAAAATTAGTTTTCCCAGTTTACCCATAAGCCCTAAAATACCTCGATACAATGTTTACTTGATTAAAAATATACAGACTTGCACCAGCTACAGAAATACTATAAAGTTTGGTAAGGTTTTTGGTACAATAGCATTCATTAATGGTTTGATCAGGCTGGGAACAGCCTCTACCAGGGTTTTCCCTCATGATATACATCAAATTGACAAAGATCTGTGGTAAGTTTATCTTAGGTCCTAATCAATTGTCGCATGTCAAGTGATCACCACTTCATACAATTTGACCTTTAGATAAACACACACTTCCACTCTGGATACAAGACAAAATTAGCTATAACTGTCCCCAGCTTTAGCAAAAAGTCTGCAAGGAGGTCTATGAATACGGGTTTGTACAGTTTTCCCAGAGCTATCAGATGAGGCTAGTGGGCAGGATGAACAAAGTTAACTTCACCCCCGTTCCTGAGCAATGTCCTGGAAAAGAGGCACTCAACTTACATTCCACTAAGCTACAACAGTCATTGATATTATCTATGCTACAACTGACTACTTGGAGAAGAGGCAATTAAGATACACATAAAATATAAATGAACCTAAGCGATTCAGATAAAATGTTCTAGCGGGGGGAAGTCCTTCCGTAACATAAACAAGATTCCCACTTGCCATATTCAAATTCCTTTCGACCATCAGAGAAAAATCTACACATCTATATAACTAGGTCAACCTAACAGACATTCTTATAGATAAATATGACAGCTGAAAGGTATTTTTGAATTCCTAAAGCATGAAAACAAATTACACTACCCAGCCATGCTTCACCCGCTCTCACGTGTTTACGTTGTCATCACATACAATGGGGATCAATTTCTTACACGATACACTTTGTGAATGAAATTTTCAAACTTTGAACCGCAAAAACTCATCGCCACTGAATAATTCCTGTAAATATAAGAACTCTTTACAAAAAGGCAGATAAATAAAGTAAAATGTGCCGGAGCTCAGACTTACCCATGGTTGCGGTGAGCTGTTTGCTCCGGAAAGAACAGCGTCTGGTAGCGGCGCTCTGTCTTCGACGTCATCCACATTTCTTTAACCTTTTGATATTATTTTTGCAATATTAATTTTATATAAATACAAAATTATATCAGAAATAATTAATGTAAACTTATCGAATATATATAATATTCCAAGAAGAATATTTTTTTATTTGTTTACATTCGTTTCGTTCGGTTTGCTGTAGTATTGACAGTCATATGATCGGGTGATCGGCTGCTCTGAGCAAGATGAAGAAGGCAGGGTTACTGGTCATTTTTTCTGCCCTAATTTGTGGCACTTTTGCTAAGGATACAGTGCCTGTGCTCATTTGGAACTCGAGGCAGTAAGTATTGATACTGATTCTGTATGCATATATATCTTGAACCTGTTCTTTTACAGACTGATACTTCAATCCTCAACAGTTCTGTGACAGTTTGTTCAGAAAAATTTCTCATTCTTAATATTTGTATATGTTTCTCATGTTCAGTGAGTTGGAATATATATGTTACATGTCTATGATATAAGATTTTTTGTGTAACTGAACCTAAGCTGCGGTGAGTCATGGAGAGAATTTTTTTTCTTGTTTCATTTTCTACACACAAAATTTTTATAATTTCTGTAAGGAAAATCAGATAGAATAGTGATTTTCAGGGATAAGGGTAATCGAGAGCAAACTGTTGGTAAATCATACATACTGGGTGTGGTCCTGGTGTAAAATTTGGTTGATCTAGAAGAATTGGAAGAATTTTAGTAACCTAACATTAAATGCTAAAGTAGAAGAATCATATCTAGACTGATAAAAAAATCAAAACTAGAGATGGTAATTCTAAGAAAGACAGCCGCACCTATTTTTTTTTTCTCTCTCTCTCCTACCCCCTTCAAGAGTGGGGGACCAGTGGAGAATTGGGGGTTGAAGGGGGGCACATACACGGAAGAAATAGTGGATTCAAAAGAAAAGGAAGTTTTTAAAAAATGCAAAATCCGAAGGAGAGCCTGGCGCTGCTGCAAGATGCGCCGCGCTGGTGTCAGTGTTGCCGAAATCCCAACAAATTTTTTTTACTTAACCTAACACGGACCCTTTCCCTGGGGTATTTCCCTATTTCCCTACTGTGGGCAAGCCCACGGACCCCCTTCCTTAGGGTAATTCCTTACCCCTTTCCTGGGGGTATTTCACCGTACAAACGAAGCATACCTTCCTAACCCCTTACAGGAGCCAAGCCCCCGGAACCCCCCTCTCCTGGGAGTATTTCCCCCTGAGGCCCCCCTTTTCTTTAGGCGATTTCGCCTTACCTTTTTCCAAGAAAGAAAGCTCAAGTATCACTAAATAATAATATATACCTCCAAGTGATCGTTTTCCGCGCTATAAAAGATAATCAGATGGTTTTGCTCGAGTGGTATATTTGGATGATAGCGCGTTCGCATAACCATTTATCAATAAGTGAATATTTTATTTTCATGGATACTTCTATCCTGGTATTAGGTAACAAGTTCGGTTAGTTGTGTACACACCCAAACCCACACCCTCTTCAGAATTTTTATAAACTCTTTTCATATTTACTTTCGCATATATTTTAATAAAATTCAATCTTCTTTCAAATCGGTCCTTAATATCGATATATGCTTTCAGTTGTCTCTCGATCAATATTGGTATGATCGTGTGTGTGGAATCGTTCCAGAGCGCTTCTCTGTTAGCGGAAACGACTCCAAGGCAGAGCTGTTTTAGGCCGCCGCCTCCAAGACCTTGCCATTTCAGCACTGTCACCTCCTTCTATAGCGTTACACACAAGCATGTTTTCAAAGATAAAGTCACTCCTCCACCTTCCACGTCTCATCAACCCCCGGAAAATTATAGCAGGAAGAATGGTCGTAATTAGATACGATATGATCGAGGAAGCGCTGAACGCTGTAGGTTAGAGTGATGCTGCTCTGAAAGGGTCCTCCTCCTCCTCCTTTTCTTCTTCTTCCTCCTCCTCTTCTTCTTCACCATCACCATCACACCTCCTTCCCGTCATAGTCAGAGCTTCGCTTCCGTTGTCAAAATAAATGATCTCCGCATAGAGGGGTCTGGAACCGCGATGCGTTCGTAGGAGCATGCAGAAATCGAGCGTGTCTCTCCTGTCGAGAATGTAGTACACCAAATCCACCGATTTCGGGTCGATCGAAAAGTTGCGCAGTTCCTCGTCCGTCCAGAGCGAGCGTTCTTCGTCGGGAAAGGTCAGGGTGACAAACTCGCTTCGATGCTCGGGATAAACTTGTCAATATTAATTCCATATCGATGTAACATATCGAGCGGATAACTCGTCTGTTCTTCAGGAAAATACAGATACCCATATGTGTGTACACGTAATCCCGATTCGGGATTATATTCCGAAACGAGGGTTAACATTGTTTCTTCTCGACCACTTTTTGATCCGTTCTATTTATCACTACAACCTCTAATGAGTACACACACGTATACATACATACATATATATATATATATATATATATATATATATATATATATATATATATATATATATATATATATATATGTATGTGTGTATGTATCTTTGATATACAACGCTTTACTCGCCCCCCCCCTATAGTGTCATCGTCGTACATAGATTGTGATTTTATTTACAAAAAAAAAAGATTCGACAAGCCTACAAAAACATTCGGCCCCTGATACAACAAAAAATAATGAAAATGGAAGAAATAGAGAGGAGAATGGGAGGGAAAAAGAGAAAGTCTTTATCTATGACGTTTTAAGGACTAAGCTCTGTCGCGTCAGCACTTGCTGACATACGTTGTCGGCACAGGTTGGGGGTCCCCCCCCCTGCACCAATAGCCCGAGCGAGACTCAGCTTCGCATATCGGACTTATCCTTAGATGGCAAAGAGATACATATACCGTTTCATCATGTCTCCAAATTTACAATATGATCTTTGGATACACAACAATCAATATAGATGGAAATACAAAAAAACGGGTATCAGAATTTACTTTTATGAGCATAGAACGTCAGATTCAGGATAATAAGAACCTTATTAAATGGCTTAATCTGCTGAACGAAATGCAATATAGTAATGAGAAAATTACGTTTCCTGATGAAATCAGACACTGGGAGGAAGAAGAACTGCGGTATTTTTGCATCAATTTCGAGTCAGTAGATCGTGTTTATTTTTTTAAGAACATTATGGATAAAGAGTTTCGTTTACTTCTAAGGATGAGTTACAAGTCCAAACCGCTATATGTGGAGGCTATATATAGTGACCATTTTACCATCAGAAAGAGCATCACGATTGTAACTTACGATGCACAGCGGTTTGTCGAGTCTATAGTGTTTTCTTATGGCAAACGTGACGTTATTTTATATTTTATGAAATATGACAAGCTAAAAGTACAAAGAAACTGGAATACCGTGATACGACTGGAGGACCTAAGTCGAATAGTATCATCTAATCAGATAAATAGATTCAGTAACGATAATACTATGATACCAAAAATAATATACAATGAAATGATAAACTATCCAAAAATAAAGAAGATAGAAAATAAAATTGAGAGAAGAACGATCATGAAAAATAAGGTATCCAAAAAACCAGAAGAAAATCCTTCGAGTTGAAGAGTTTACTTTTTACTCAAAGGACAGTATGTATTCATCATGGTGCTTCCAGATGAGACTCATAGTCCGTACAATTGTAAGGAACAATATAATATATTGATAATAAACATGATAAAACAATGTTAACTTTTCTTTAGTATGTTACACATCAACAGATCCTACAAGTATAATAAACCTAATGAGTAAATATATTAGTTAATTTTTTTTTTAAATGTATCTTTTTTATATAGTTCCTTTTTAAAGAAAAAGGATATAAAGAATATAACAATAAAATATGCCTGTTTAAAAAAAACTCTTTCGGTGATAATGGAATAAATAAAAATTATATGTAAACCCTAATAATATTCAGCTCTTAATAATAACAATAATAATCCTGACCGCACATAATTTTAAAAATGTACTATGATGATGATGATGAATTATTCTTCCAGCTCAAGCCCGAGCATTTCAAATCGTTCACTCCCTACTTCAATACTACTTTACTGAATAACTTAAATCACTTATTGGAATATCAGATTTATATTAATAAGAGTACGCCGGATGATATGTGGGACAAAATAGAAGTAGAGGATTTTAAAATTGTTTTAAGTAATGTAGATCGTATCTATATTATGAATATTATAATATGTTAACAGGTAACGATAAATTGCTTCTTTTCGTACGCATGAAGTACAAGGATAAATATGTCTTTGCCCGTCTGTTTATAAGATGCGAGGAAACTGCTAGTGACGAATGGACAGGAGATGGTGATATTTATTTTACTACAAACGCTGATCTTTTTTATCATAAAATAAGAAGGGAAATATCTATTGAGAGACATGATTTTCGAAAAGCCCTTGAAAGTGACGGTTATATCATCTCTAGGGTAGTAAAGAATAAGTATAACAACGAAGCTTTAAATATGGATTGTGATACCGACGATAATGACACGATATTTAGTGATAGCTATAACAGTGATACCGATGATAGTAATCATTATGACTCGATGACATAGAGTTCTTAGTTGAGCTCTTATATTATATTCGTAAATGTATAATCATACTAAAATAAAAATATATTTTTTATTGCAAGATAATTTTGTATTATTATAACTGATCATTGACTGACATTTTTTTATTAGAGACTGTTTTATAAGAACTCTTGACTTGAGATATTTACCCCCATCTTCCTCTTACTCCACTTTTTATTTTTCTAATACTATGTTATTGATGGTGGAATAGACGGGAAATAAACATTAGGGTAATATTTACTCTCAAGCTCTTTTTTCTTCTTTAAACATTCCTGATAAAAAATATCACAATATTTATTTTCTGAAGACATATAAGATTTGGAATATCTATTAGCAAGGTATTTGAACACGAGACCCTTTTCATGTGTGTCGGTAGTACAATCAAGACCTTCATGTTCATTCTCATGTTCTATGGCATTAT